CCGCGTTTGGACCAGTGGATTGAAGTTATGACTTATGTCGATCCCATTGTATGTTTGGTCTAGTGGAGTGATGGACTTAATGGATTAAGTCCTTAATGGGTTAAGTAAGAACACTTAACCGTAATCGTTATTTTATGTGAAAAACCCTAATTAGGTTTGGGTTCTTGTTGGTCCATTTCTTCGACTAAGTTGTTGTGGGCCTTCGTGGGCCAATTGGGAACAGGTTTATGGACTAAGGAAATTATTAGGCTTTAGGATAAGGCCCATTGGAAAGGCTTGGGTCCAATTTGGAAAATTGGGCCATAGATGGGCCATATATTGGGCCTTGATTTATTATTTGACTTTTGGGCCTCCAGAGTTTGAGTTTGGGCCTTGATTTTGGTCCAAGCTAGGTTAGGGGTAAAATAATCTCTTTACCCCAAGTAGGGAGCTATGGTTATGCATTGGAACCCAATTATTAATTGGGTGTTGTTTTGATGATTAACAGTTTGGGGATTTGTCAGCCAACAGCCGTAGTTTTGTCCGTAGGACTTCAGCAGTGTGAGGTGAGTCTCTTCACTGTTTGTATGGGTCGAAGGCACCAATGTCGGCCCATTTGGTTTATGTATGGTAGGAAGACCCGGGGGTTAGCCCTAGGCAATATGTATGAAAGACCAGGAGGTGGCTCCTGGCACACTGTATGCTAATTAGCTAAGTAGAACAGTATGTATGCTAGTTGTCTTTGTGATGCTTGCATGGAAGACCAAGAGGTGGCTCTTGGCACTTGTCTGTAAGACCCAGGGGGTGGCCCCCGGCTTGGCAATAAAGACCACGTGGCAGCCCATGGCATAATAGCATGACTATGTATCGACACATAGCATCTTTATTGATTATGATATATGAATGATATGTATGGCTCATGGTTATGTATGACAATATGTGATTTATGTGCTTATATGCTAGACAGTATCCAGTTGAAAGAGACCGAAGGGGTAGGCCAGCACCCATATATGCTAGGCAGTATGTTGATATGTATGGTATGTGGTATTTGGGGAACCCCCTAAGCTTCGTGCTTATAATTTTCAGTTTTGGTTTCAGGTACCTCCTGTTTTCAAATAAAGGAGCTCGAGACGATAACAGCGTATACACTTGTGTTTTTCCGCAATGTGTTATTTTGGGAATGAACTCTGATAAATGTTTTATTTGAAATGTTTTCTATGTGTGAACAAAGTTACAATAGTGTTCTAGTTATATCAAAAATGAAATGTTTAGTCCTGAATTTTGGGATGTTATAGTGTGTTCTTGGTGTGTTGAAGAAGGAAAGAAGATACATTGAGGAGCCGTAGTGTAGAAGCAAGCTTGTAGATCTGGGATCTTTTGCTTCTTGAGAAGCTCCATAAGGTATAAAGTTCATACCTTGATGACTTAATTGTTAGATCCCATTTTAGGGTGTTTTTATGTCACCTTTTTGGTCCCAAAAGTCTCATCTTGAGCATGGCATGATTTGGACGTTTTGAGTTGTCCTTTCAGACCCTAGGAGGGGTCATTAGCCATAAAAATGAAGTCAATTTGGTTAGATTTGCTCCATGCATCTTGTAGGAGGTCTTAATGGATTAAGACCTTGTGTTAAGCTCTTATTAGGCGTGTAAATTCATAAAGTTGTAAACTTTATGACTGTAGGGTGTGTTTTGGTCATGAATCTGAAATATGGACTTGAGTGCTTAAGCCATTAAGCACTTAATGGATTTTGAGGGTTGCGAGGGTACGCTCCGCGTACATGGGAGTACGCCCCACGTAATGGGTCAATCACCCCAATGAGCAGTCAACTGCGAAGTTTCACGTACGCTAAACGTACCTCTAGAGTACGCCCCACGTACTCGCATGGGTCATCCTTGTTGAGTTGACTCGGTTGAGTTGACTCAGTTGACTTAGTGGGTGTGACAAGTTGACTTTGACTTTGACTTTGACTTTGACCAAGTTTGACCTTGAGGATATTTTTGGGATTATGATGGAATTGGTCACTTTGTGGAAATAGGTATCAGTTACAGAGCTGAGCTTCGGAGTCGAACCTCCTCAGTTCTGTTCATTTTGCGAGGTGAGTTTTCCTCACTGTACTTTATGGTTGAAGGCACCAAGGACGGCCTCTTTGGATTGCTATCCTGGTTTATCGCATGCTTGTATGCTGTAGTGATCTGTTAGATCTGTATCATGGTATATAGGATGATGTTATGCTTAGTGATCTGTTAGATCTGTATGACTGTCTGTATATGCTATTTAGGGTTTGATATGGTATATGTTGATATGTGATGGTATGTTGGGTTGAGGCGGTCCTGCTATGTGCTCAAGGCCAAGAGACCAAGGGTGTCCCGGATAGACTGCAGGCCAGTGGGGCGTACCAGTCAGGCCGAAGGCTCAGAGAACATTTCAGATAGGCTGAAGGCTCGGTGAGGCGTACCAGTCATGCTGAAGATTTTGCGAGCGCACCAGATAGATTGTAGGCCGGTGGGGCATTCCAGTGAGAATGAAGGTTTTGTATGCATGCTGTTTGTTGTTATTATTATTATGGTTATGTGTTGTGTTGGTACTTTGAGGGAACTCACTAAGCGTTGGCTTACAGTTTTGGTTTATGTTTCAAGTACTTCAGAGGATCGTGGGAAGGCGGATTCGTGACCGTACACAACCTCATGTTTTGGACTTATGATTTTGGGAAACTCTGATATTCAACATGTTTTGAAAATTATGTTGTAAAAAGTCAAATTCAAAGTCAAATTCAATCGAGTGTCTAGATAAGGAAAAGGTGTGGGTTTCATTTAGGCAACACATTGTGTTCCTCTTGGAAAACGGCGTGTTGATGGCTGGGAATGAAACCCTAATTTTTCGGGTTTTGCCCCCTATTTAAATGAAAGTGGATGCTAGGGTTTGTTTACCCTCAGCCCCCATCAGACCCTAAAAGCCTAAGGGGGCCCTAATCATCTTTCTCTCTCATTTGTGAGCTAGTGTTGTGTTTTGGAGCCAAAAAAGAAAGAAGTTGGAAGAAGGAAGTAAGGATCCAACAAGAAAGCCCTCATCTTTCAGTATGGAACTCCTCTGGACCTTTGTAAGTGTCCAAGATCCGATTTTTATTCCTCTATGTTGCTAGATCTTGAGTTTTGTTCCTTTTACTTGTTGTTCTTGAGTGAGGGAATGGTTGGATTTCATAAAGTTAGCAACTTTATGAATCTCCGGGTCTAAGTGACCTTGTAGAATCTTGGATCTGGCCTATAGTCGAGTTTTTATTACATGCATGGAGAGTAGGTCATAAATCCCCATTTTTGACCTATTTTGGGTTCCAGACATGCATTGGACATGCATGTCTATAAAGCACCGACCTTTGATATGGTTTTGGTGCTGGAATCTCTTCTGGAAAGGATAGGTTTCAGAATTCAAGGATTTAGTGCTTCTTGGTTAAGCCTTTGAATCTTCAAGCCTTGTGGTTGGATTTTGGGACCCTTGGAGCAGTTCCAAAGGATAAAGTTGGAAACTTTATCCTTCTTGATAGCATTTGGGTCTAGATCTGAGCCTTGGAGTCCCTGGAATCGAAGAAATCAGCTGAATGTATTAAGTTTTTGGAACTCAGGCGAACACGGCGTGTTGGCTGGATTTTTCCTGATCGTATGGATGTTATCGAAACACGTCGTGTTTGCATGTAAACATGGCGTGTTCGGTCAACATGGACTGTTGACCCTGACCATTGACTTTGACTTTGACCAAGTTGGACCTTGAGGGTATTTTAGGTATTTTAGGATTTTGATGAATTTGGTATCTTGGTGGATATGTATCGGTCGGAGCTGAGATTCGGATTCGGGACCTCATCAACTATGGATAAGTTTGAGAGGTGAATTTTCCTCATTGTACTTGTGATTCGAAGGCACCAATGCCGTCCCTTTGATTGATATCATGTTATGCGTTTTTTATGCTATTATGATCTGTTAGATCGGTATCCTGGTAGATAAAATTTTGCTATGCTTAGTGATCTCAAGATCTGTGGAATTGGTTGTAGGCTGTTTAATGATTACTTGTTAAATGTGTACATGTTTGGTCGGTGGTTGAGGCTTCACTGCTTTGTGCGTAAGCCAACATGCCGGGGCATTCCAACCCGATGGTTGAGGGGCCTGGGGATTCCAACCCGATGGTTGATTGGACCCATAGTATGTTGGCATTCCAACACGATGGTTCAGGGGCCTGGGGTATTCCAACTTGATGGTTGATTGGACCCATAGTTTGTTGGTATTCCAACCTGATGGTTGAGGGGCCTGGGGTCTTCCAACCCGATGGTTGATTGGACCCATAGTATGTTGGCATTCCAACCCGATGGTTGAGGGGCCTGGGGTATTCCAACCCAATGATTGATTAGACCCATAGTATGTTGGCTTTCCAACCATATGGTTAAGGGTCTGGGGTATTCGAACCCGATGGTTGATTGGACCCATAGTTTGTTGGCATTCCAACCCGATGGTTGAGGGGCCTGGGATATTCCAACCCGATGGTTGATTGGACCCATAGTATGTTGGCATTCCAACCCGATGGTTGATTGGACCCATAGTATGTTGTCATTCCAACCCGATGGTTGAGGGCATGGGTATTCCAACCTGATAGTAGATTGGACCTATAGTATGTTGGCGTTCCAACCCGATGGTTGATTGGACCCATAGTATGTTGTTATTTGTTGGTTTATGTTATTTGTTCGTATGGTGGTATTTTGGAGGAACACACTAAGCTTCGTGCTTACATTTTTGGTTTATGGTTTCAGGTACTTCAGTGGACCGTGGCAAGGCGAAGGCGTGACCGTACACATCATTGGTTTACAAGTAATTGTATCCTGGAAGACTCTTATTTTAATTAATGTTTTGGAAATTATAGTTTTAAACACTTTTAATAATAAATGGGTCGTTTTTGAAAGGTTTAAGTTTGTTGAAATTTTTGGGATGTTACATTGGGACTTCATAGTCTAGGAGTTCCTTAGCGAATGGAGATGTTACGCTTCACGATAAACAATATCGGTTTAGGATGGAGAAAGCGCCTTGTGGGTTATACTGTTGGGCGGTGAGGTATGGTTGCACTAGCATGTTGTTGTATGTTGAAAGGTGCCCTGGGGTTGGGCCGTAAAAACTTTGCTGCTGAAACGGGAAGGTCATTGGATGGATTGATAAGAGGTGTGGGTTTTGTGCGAGCAAGTTGTTTGACATGAATGTAGGATGTGGTGGGATTGTGGTATTGAAGGACATTTTTGTCACAAACGGAGGCGTTTGGAAGGCCATCGCTTGTTCTCTCGCCATCTGATTTAGTGGCGGTGATTGCGAGATAACCGGCACGCCGCTGACGTTATTCACCGTTGGTGGTGTTGTGCTTCCTAAGATCATCGTCAGTTGTTGTGTTTGTGCAGAGACGCTTTGTGTGTACACAGTGGCATAGGATGTTGGTCCTTCGTCGATCGATCTCTGTAATTCGTTCATTGGATCAATGGTCATTGTTGAGCCGCCTTGTTGTGGTGTTTCACCGGTAACTGGTGAGAAAATTGGTGTGAAAATAGGAGTGGTAACTGGTTCCAAATGTTGGGTTTTGATCATTCTAACACTCCTATGGTTTACATGTAACCCTATGTGCTTTGGATCTATGTTTTCTCTATTATACATGCATACATTCAAAATTCCAAAGCATCATCCTAACTAGCATACAATGGAGTATCTATACTACAAAAGTCTAGTTGGATGACATGCCTTTTATTGGAGCTTGAAGTCTTGAAGCTTTAAGAGCTTAGTGCCCCAAGTGTTGCACCTCAAATGGAATCACACAACACCACCAACAATTGGAATAACTTGAGAAGAGGTTACTTGGTTCACTCTATGAAATCAACTTTGCCCTCTTTGTGTCTCCGCTAGTGCCATTTCATGAACCATGGGGTCCTTTATATAGTGTGGCTCATTTAGGGTTACACCATGTAAACCCTAATGTGCATGACTTTCCATTTCCTTCATGATCCACGGGTTTTAACCTCCATGGAGTATCCATGGGTTACCACATGGGTTAAGCCCAACATGAAGGACTATGGATCACAAGCCCACATATGTAAGAATGAATGATTTACATAATCAATCTCCATATATTTAATTAGTCTCTTTTGATCACAAAATTAATTCCAAATTAATTCTTGATCAATACTAATTAAATAATATGATTTCATATTAATATATTAGAACTTATAATATATTAATATAAATAAAAAATAACATTTTCTCATTTGTCTGTCCAATTGTTCCGATGCCATGCAACCTAAATGGACCATGCTACTTTCGGGTTGAGTACATACCAATAATAGTTATGGGCTTAGAAATCTAATCCGACAGTCTCCCACTTGGACAAGTCTAAAACTATTATTCAAGTATGACTCCAAGATCCCGACTAGCAATCGTGGCTCTGAAAGCCGCTGTCGAACTCTGACCTAGTCAAATGACGTGTCTATTAGATAAGGGATCATATATTCCTCCATTCTAGATATCATATGGACTGAGACATGGATTATAATCATTCTCTCTGTCCATATGTTATTTCCTGATTTCCGATTTATGACGACTGACTAATTGAACAAATCAAATCAGTCTCGGTTTGGCCAAGTACTTAGGGGTGTCATCACTAAATCATTGAGGGGCCCACAGATATCGCTTTTATCCACATGGAGTAAAAGGAACAGATAAACTTTGACCCAAATGCTCGCTTGTACTTATTCATCAAATTACACACAACGATATGTTTTATAACATCCAAGTTACTGGTGCGTTTACATATGTCAACGTGCAACCGACTCGCAACTACAACTCACACGTCTTCGTTTCAAGAATATAAGATATTATCGTCTCATGATCACACGTGATAAAATCCATGAAGTGATTCAAATGAGCGTGGGTTTAATCCAATACTCGAATCTCATTCCAAGAGCACTCATGAATGTTGCAGCCACTTTTGCTATGTCTAAACATTTTAGACTTTTGCTATGACAGTCTTGATTCATACCTACTTCCAAAGTATGATTGACTGTGGAGAGTTTAAATAACCTAGTTATTCGGGAAGTCAAAACATGCTAAGTGAAACACAAGAACAATCAAATCCAATATGGTCTCAAAACTTATGAATATAAATAAAACACATTTTATTTATCACCATATTGATTGCACATTATTCATTGCATAATGTTTCAAATAATCAACTTAATACTTCAATTAAAAACAATAGTTGTCCCATGCTCCAAGCATGCACACTATGTTTTCTAAACAATAGTTATGTCATACACCAAGTATGCACACTATGTTTGTCTATGATCCTTACTTTGTGAAATAGATCAATTGAACATGATTCCAATGATGCTCATTTCACAATCCCAAATCCTTACCGTAAATGTAAGAATATTAAATTATTGTCATTTACTATAATATGTTAAGCTCATATGCATTGGTCCTCTTGTAATGACTATGCACAAAAGTCTCAAAGACTTGGAAACAGACATTACAAAGTATTACAATGGAGATCAATTCCATGGAAACGAAGTCTCACATTCAAAGTACATTCCTTTAAACATCCTTCTTGCATAAAAGTTTCTAACTTTCTCATCTATTCTTCAACCCCCCAATATGGAAACATTTCATATTTTCCATACGACAATTCATTATTAATAGACTCCTGTCTATTCATAATAATGTCAATATGGTCCTTCCATTACCATACTTCCAACTTTCCTTAAGCGACCAATCATTGACGAACCTTAGATTGTCCTTAATAGTTGCTCAACCACTTTAGTCATAACCGGTTCTAGTCATTTTCCCTCTTAATGCCCTAGGCATTTGGAAAAATTAGAACACGAGAATATTATATTATTTGCCATGTTCTCAAATTTTGAATTATGAAAAGGGATGTCGTAATCATAATCAAAGGTTGAGAACGCAATTAACACATCCATATATAGAATTTCCTTATGTTGAACCATTCCAACATAACATTCATATATATATATATATATATATATATATATATATATATATATATATATATATATATATATATTTGACTAAGTGTGATTAAAATCTCAATCTAAGCTTTTAGAATTGAAATGAAGTATGAATTCCTCTCCCTTAATTATAGCAAAACAACTTTTTCAACCCCTGCAACTTCACGAATTGAAACTTTTTGTTTTCTATAATTAAAATTGCTAACTTGCAATATTTACCATAATTAATTATGCTCCCACTAACATAATAATTATTATCTTACTGGCATAACACTTTTGCTCCCACTAGATTTGACATGTACTCAGAAATCAGCTGAACTTCTGAAAATCAACACTTTGTTGACTTTATTATCAAAGTTCAGATTTCTGATATGAGATGCTTTGATAAGACGTTATCTAAGCTTCTTAAACTCATACACCTTCCCTTAGATAGTTCACATGTGTATCTAAACAATTTTAGAACTATGAAGAGGTATGTCGTAATCATAGTCTCAATTGTTTAGACCTTTGCCATTTCTCACAATTCGAACTATGAAGAGGGATGTCGTAATCATAATCGAATTTGAGAAATCCAAGTATCACAATTGCTAACTATTTAAAATCTACTTAGTGAAAGCGTTTCCTCACCATCATTTTCATGAATCGGAGAGAAACCTTATGACAGTTAGATTTTATGGTGTATGTGTTCCTATCCATGTGAATTTGTCATAACCATAATCACAAGACAAGGTTAGCGAGAAATCCAAAATCACATGGACTGAACTCTTTCAATCTTAATTTCTTGCCACCTAGAAGCACAAGGGCCTATCATTGCTTCCAGGTTGTTATGCAACCAATTGAGAACTCTCAGAACTCACATGCATAATCAACTTTAACTGGAATGGGCACAGAAACAAGAATATGTCAACACGATAGGTCACAAACCTCATGTCGTGTGCTAGTGTTTAACAATAGGTTTATTCTTGATTAGTTCTTGAAACTTGTCAAGATGTTTAAGACTCCCACTGTCCTCTTGACATATAAGATTCTCTTGTCAAGTACCATTACTTGACAATAAATATTCAAGAGTTAGTGCGGATTCGTACCAAGATAAACACTTCACACAATTGGTCTTAGTTGGTCTTTGTTTTTATCCAAAACATCACAACTTACTAATCTCAAATGTACAAGAGTAATAAACATGTTACTCTACATTTGATAAGTGTTGTAAACCTTCTTAATATTATATCACTCAAGTCACAATCTTGGAGTATGACTCTGAGACTTGTTTTGGAACGAAGTATGACTCATCTTCTTGATTTTAACCAAATCAACAATTTAGGATTCCTCTTCTTAGCCATACAAATGCACTAAGGTGTCCTTAGAGGATCAATTATGATATGATTTCATAATCATAAAGATGATCACAAAACATGATACTAAAGTATTCTCCCATCTTTTCAGAACGGAGAAAATTTTATCTTTCTGCCTAATTTGATTCTTCTCATTTGTCCTGTCATACATTGAAACTTTTCCAATGTTTCAGAATTATACTTAAACTTGTAAGCATAACCATGTTTACTAAACTTTAGTAAATCATGACGAATAGTCTTATCGATCTTTGTGGTGGATCTTGACCAACGCACACCCAGTGTACCCGATCCCCTAGTCCTTCACTTGACTCACATATACATGTGAATAAGGAATTAGTATTAATTTACCAAAGATGAAAATTCTCATTCATCATACAATACAACTTGCATGATTCCAAGTTTCTGTCCAACTGAAACTTGGGTGATGAGAATCTTTCCTTATTTGGTAAATTATGACACTACCACAAACGAAAGAATCAAGTTTATTTTCCAATATTGCTATCAACAGAAACATATGAACAATTTTTTATTAAATGGCATTGTAAGGAGATCTAATAAAATAAAAAACAAAATTTTATTTATTTATAAAATGCGGAAATTTTTTTCCTTACAATGCAATTATAAGTGGAAAACTATGTTATTGCATATTTCCTAGCAATCTATCATAACTCTCAAGCAGTAGCTCAGAAATCCGATCTTCGAACCATGCGATTGAAATCCATCTTCGCGATCAGATTCAACATACTCTTCTTTTAAGCTTCCTTCCCTTTGCTTGATCCCGCCAAACATCAAAATGCAACCTAGTCACATCATGTATTAAGAATCAACAATTAGAACCTTAACAGAGTTAGATAGTAGACTTACCTGAAGCAGAACCATACATTCTGATTAAACTTCTCAGGTAGTCTGGGCAGCTTCGATTCCAATGTCCATGTCTTTGGCAATAGAAACACACAGGCTCACATGGAGCAGTCTCAGATTTGGCCTTTCTATTATGATCAAAACTTTTGACCATGCCCAAATTCCTTTCCTTTAGGAGAATAAATCTTTTCTGGGATGTCCATGTCCTTAGCCTGTCAATAGCCAACTTCCTTGGGAAGACGACACCCAACATCCTTAGCCTGTCAATATGCAGCTTCATTTTCCAAGACATGAGCACATATAGGCTTTCCATCTTTGTGTTTACTATCCGATAGGGATTGAGTGATCCTGAACTTTT